TCAAGGAAGGAAGGAAGTAGGGACGTGAAGATCCGAAGGAGCGAGTTCAGTCCCGACCACGCGGGCCGGGCTTGTTGTTTTGGATCACCTGAATCTTCATGCTCTTGGTTAGACCAGCAAACACATATATGTGGATAGTCGACATTCACAAGCTTCATGCATGTTGATGGCACAGGCGAGGCTATCCATTGAAGGTGAAATTCAGGCACCATTTCTATTGGTTGAGCGATTTGAACCAGAACATCTCGGTATGGAGTTACGACGGAACGTGTCCAGATCCGTTTATTCTGGAGACTCGACAATGGCTACCAGAACTAGGCCTACTAAGCACATCGAACTGTTGCCTCTCGCTTGTTACGTTCTAGGAGAAGGGAAAATCGATGATCAAACCGAGTGTCTAAGAGGGAATGCAACTCTCATCCGTCAAACGACGTACGCAGCGATAAACTCCTACTTGATTTCCGAAATGGTCACCTTGGTCCACATGTTCTCCTCCACAAAGATGTTATAACTATACGAATCCCACGGCCTCACCGGATCCGCAAGCTCAAAATCAAAGTTGCGCATAAGCTAACCGCGCAAACGTCAGCATTTCGTATCCCTAGTCGATGACAGCCCTAGTCTAGTCACTGTGAACTTACCTCGAAGAAAGCCTTATACAGCTCCATAAACGCCACCGGTTTACCCGCACACATATACCGCCCGTACCCAAACGCCATCTCCACGTCGCGCTCCATGCTCAGCCTGGCCGCGTCGTCGTCGACCTCGAGAAACCGCTCCGGCCGGAAGAGGTCCGCGTCGGGCCCGAAGAGCGAGGGGGATTTGAGGAGGCCGGGAGCGTTCATGCCGATGGCGGTGCCGCCCGGGATGAACTTGCCGTCGACGGTGTCGCCTTGGGGCGGGACGGTTTTGGGGTAGAGGCCTGTTGCTGGGGCGCGGATTCGGATGCCTTCGTAGATTAGGGCCTGTAAGGGTTTAGTATCGTCGTGTACTGAGTATGTATCGCATGTTGGATGGGGGAGGGGGAGGGGGGGATAGGGGGTGATACGCACGCGTAGGAACGGGATCTTGCTGGCTTGGTCAAAGGTAATCGGAGTCGAGACACCAGAGGCGACGGCGTCCCGAATGACGGCCTTGAACTTGTGGTAGATCCTGGGGTTGCACATCAGATGCAGCATTGTGACACGGATCACGGAGGCGGTAGTGTCCGAGCCGGCGACGAGGGCGAAGAGGCCTTCGGCTTCGCATTCTTGCTGCGTCATGCCGTTCTTGATCCACGATCCCTGGTCGAATTCGTCAGTACCATCTCCCAGGGCAAAAAGCAGAGTTCGTAAAATGTAGATGGACGTACCAACATGTCCTTCTGAGGCTTCGAGGCGGATTTGAACCTCTCTCCGACGTACTTCTCAGCAATCCTGTCACCCCGTTAGTCGCAACTCCTATGGTATGAACGGCTTCCGCGATGAGAGACGATACTCACCCCATCATCTGCCCAAGCCCAATCTCATCAGTCGTCCTTGGCCCAAGCCACCTCAGAAACAACTTTGAAAACCGGATCGTCCGGATCCACGGGGTATCCAACGTGATCGCGATCAACGGCCAATTATCCCTCATCTGCTTGATAAACCCAAACACATCCGCATCAGCCTCCAAGTGCCCAAACGGCTTCCCGAAGGCGGCGGCGGTGATCACATCCATGGTGAGATACGCCGGCAAGACTCCCATGTCCACCAACTTTCCTCTCCCTCCTCGTCCCCCATCACCACCGCCGCTGACGCCCCCATCATACGCATACCTCTCCCTCAAAAGCCTGACCAAACTCACGACCTGCACATCAACGCTCGGCTCCAGCAAATCCACCTCCCGCCCCGCATACGCCGCCGCCGTCTTGGCCTTCATCCGATCATGTTCCCCTCTGTCGAGCGTGGTGAACATGGTCTCCTGGTAGGGGTTGAACCGGCTGGAGAAGTACCACGAGTCTTTGCCGTAGTCGCTGCGGACGGCGTTGATGCGGCGGAGGACGGCGGGGTCGTCTGTGAGGAGCTCGTTGGGGCCGACGCGGACGAGGCGGGAGGTGTTGAGGGCGCGGTAGATTTCTTCTTGGCGGGCGGAGCGGGCGATGAGGAAGAGCGGGAGGTAGGAGAAGGTGGATAAGGGGGAGTAGGCTGGGATGTGGCGGAGGCGGCGCCATGTGAGGAGGGAGGTGAGGGTGTAGTAGAGGGTTAAGAGGGCGAGGAAGAGGGCGGTATATTGGAGGGGGGAGAGGTCGAGGGATGCGAGGTTCGGGATGGCCATGTTGGGCGGTTTGTCTCTTGACGTCGCTGGATGTTGAGCTGTTCTACGTCGGGATCTTGGATTTTCACCACCACCTGAAAGTCGCGATCTCGCGAGAGAAGAAGGGTATTTTGTATCATTTTCACACTTTTGCCGTATCCTCCAAAGTTTACGGAGTTCAGTTGTGATTGTCACGCTTATATGGAGGTGTCAGCACCACGTCGTACCGCAGTTACCTATGGCGGCCTTGAAGATGTCGATCTACCGGGGTTTTTCAACATTCGCCCACAAGGTCTGAATTGTGATGGAAATAGCTCTTGTGTCATTCGATATCGTATTACGTCGGCCCCGCTACCGGCAGCTTAGCGCCCGTTTTATGTAGCATTTGATTAGGTGGTGAGAGTTGCATGCATTTTACGGGATGTGCAGTATTGATGAGGGGATACGCCATTGCGGCATGTAAGACCCATGAGATGGCAAGAGCCGAGAATGACCCGGTTCAGGTGTGCCCCTTCCGTTGAAATTTAAGAGATCATTCTGGAACTGACTACGGTCTTTAAAGGGACTTTGGTCGAGAACGATGGATATCACAAGTTTGGACGTGGGCTAGGTTAAGCTGGACAGCAGACAGCATCTGACATGGATGTTAGGATCTGTCGCAATTGCCATTTAAGAGAGGTAATGGGACTCTTCTCGCTTTCCACTTTCACCTTCTTCCAAGGGCTAGTCTTGCCCCTTGAGCATAGAAGGAACCTGTTTCTCAAGTATAAAGCGGATGCTGGCTCTGGCTTTCGTTGTTTTCGACCCATCTAATTGGTTTTCTGCGGAGCTAAGGCATGTAGCCTGCGACGAGAGAGTTTCGATGGCCCGGAGCTCTTCGGAAACATCTAGCACCGGCGGCTCCTATGGTTGACATTCGGTCTACTAAAAGCACAAGAAATGAGGACCAATCTCGTTCTTTCCAGGCGATAATAGCAGATTAGAGATTGATAGGCGTAGTGAGGGGTCTCGCATCTCTCAACGCTGGGTCTGGACGTGATATGGTACCACTGCAGAAAGGTAAGAAAATTATACATGAGGTCGAAATTAGATTTTACTAGCAGAAGCTCTGTCACGATCAACTAGGTGATCCCTCCCCGACTCCAGCTGGCTACTGCCGAAAGGCACGCAGTCTAGACTGCCTCAAAGTCGTTGATGGAAGATACTCTCACGTTGCCGAAGGGTCAGGAACAGATAGCAGAACAAGGTGTGACCGTTTAGAAGGAAGAACATTGACGTGGCGTTGAAGGAAAAGGGAAATGCCGTAAAGCGCAAGATGAAACTGAACTTGATAGGATCAAGGTTGTACAAATTAGCCTAGGAAGGCTGTTTTTGAAACCATGAATCTTGCCATTTACCACTCTCTTAAAGGTGGAAACGAGTACGCTATGAACATGCGCCTCTAAACCATTGTACTCGTAACTTGAAGAATGTAACACAACGAGATGGATTATGTCAAAGTCGCAGCTAGCTCAAAGCAGTTTTGACACCTAACCCATGAACTATAAGGTAATATTGCCCTCAACTGCGTATCCTTGCTCGAGGCTAAGTTAGTCTCTACCTTGGAGTGGGCGATTCGGGAACCAACCCGTTCCTACCAGAAGAGTTATTCTTTGAGCTGTGATGAACTTGAATACCCTTGACAATCTATTGATTACTTTGAATTTGAGTTCTTTGATCCGCCTTGTCGTCTAAATTGTTGTAGGGCTACCTTGGACAAGGAGAAGTTGTTGACGTCGGACGACAAACGGAAGCGGAGAGTGGGGCCGGATCTGGCTCGGCCCCTCTGAAGATCGCTCGGATGTCACCGACTACGAGGATATGCCTTCGAACGATGTCGAGCCAACTTGGCTGTTTGAATTAGAGAAGAAGAATCCAGGGTATAGCCGTGCTAGAGCCTCAAAGTTGTTGAACCACCAGCCTTCCCCAAGTGCTCTCAGATTTTTTTCCTCATCAAAGGCACTACGAATCTGGCAAGATCTTCGCCTGCTATTCCCGAAAGTCAATGCCTTGGACCCCGGATTCCCCGCACAGACCATTTGTGTCAAGAAGGAAGAGAAGAGGTGGCAGCTGATGAGTGAGCGGTGAGGGTACTGAATGCAATTGAAGCCTTAAGTATGTCTGTTTCTGCCTTGATAGCCAGGTGAAGAAGGAAAGAATATTTCTGAGCTTGATATCCCGTCGTATATCGCAGCTGTTGCCGTGTGAAGGGCCGGTAAATGGTGATGGCAGGTGGCAGTGTGCGGGTATCTTCATGCACCCCTGAACGTCGTCCAATAGACAAAAGGGAAAAACGCTTGGGCCATGTAGCGGTGAGAGTGTCACCGGTACTTGATTGGCTCAGAGGACCCCCGCAATCATCTTGGTACTGGAAACCCAACACACCAACAGCTGTTAGAGCACTAAAGCTACCAGTGAAAGGCAGGCGCTAAGCCCAGTGAAGAAGGGGGGGGAATACCCTTTGCCTTGAAGCCTATCGCGCCACTGGTCGGCCTTGTTGATTGTGCCCCGCCTTGCCCACAACAAGTGACCCTCCACTCCAAACCTCTGAAAACCATCACCAACACCTTCCTCCCCCCCTAGCTCTTCCGAACCTCAACTCTGCGCTGCGCGCGTGAAAATATTCCCTTTCCCCATTCCACTTTGCGTCGCAGCTATTCCCAAGTTTCATTGAGCCACATTACACAATGAAGGGCGAGGTATGTTCAATGTCATTCATTCTCCTTTTATCTTCTGATCTCTACTCCAAATCCTCCATATCACAGCTTCCCGCGGGATCGTGGGTTGCTTGCTGGCTGCTCGCTACTCTCCCCCATTTTCCCGTACCGAGGCGACCCCTGAAATCTAGCCTACCTTACCTAGCTGTCCCATCCTTCCTGACCTCGGTGTGTGGCCCCAATACTGACGGCGATATCTCTAGATTCTTCACCTTCATCTCGGTCAGGCCGGTACCCAGCTGGGTAACTCTGCCTGGGAGCTGTACGTTGACCTCCAATCTCATATCCTCCCGATCCAAACGCGAAAACCGGTGAAACTGACCGCCCAACGCGCAGCTACCTCCTCGAGCACGGCCTCGGCTCCGATGGTCGTCCTGACCCCAGCGCCAAGGACGTCGTCGACGGCGGTTCCTACGAGACCTTCTTCACCGAGACGAGCGGAGGAAAATACGTTCCTCGCTCCCTCTTCGTCGATCTCGACCCCTCTCCCATCGACGAGATCCGAACTGGCGGCTACCGTCAGCTCTTCCACCCTGAGCTGTTGATCAGCGGCAAGGAGGATGCTGCCAACAACTACGCTCGTGGTCACTACACCATCGGCAAGGAGATGGTCGACAATGTCATTGACCGTGTTCGCCGCGTCGCTGGTCCGTACCCCTTTTGATGCCTTTCGGCCCGCCGGCCACGTCGAAACTAACCAATGCCTCCTATAGACAACTGCCACTCCCTCCAGGGTTTCCTGATCTTCCACTCCTTCGGCGGTGGTACCGGTTCTGGATTCGGTGCCCTCCTCCTCGAGCGCCTCTCCACAGAGTACGGCAAGAAGTCGAAGCTTGAGTTCGCCGTCTACCCCGCCCCTCGCGTCTCGACTGCCGTCGTTGAGCCCTACAACGCCGTCCTGTCTACCCACAGCACCATTGAGAACTCGGACTGCACTTTCCTCGTCGACAACGAGGCTGTCTACGACATCTGCCGCCGCAACCTCGACATTCCCCGTCCCGGTTACGAGCACCTCAACCGCCTGATCGCCCAGGTTGTCTCCTCCATCACCTCCTCCCTCCGTTTCGATGGTGCCCTCAACGTCGATCTCAACGAGTTCCAGACCAACTTGGTCCCCTACCCTCGTATTCACTACCCCTTGATCAGCTACGCTCCCGTCATCTCTGCCAACAAGAGCTCTCACGAGAGTTTCAAGGTCCAGGAGCTCACCTTCCAGTGTATGTCTTTATCGTCTGCCAGCAAAATGTGAATACGAACGAGCGCTAATCCATCACAGGCTTCGAGCCCAACAACCAGATGGTCGTCTGCGACCCCCGCAACGGAAAGTACATGGCTGTTGCCCTTCTGTACCGTGGCGACGTCGTCCCCCGCGACTGCAACGCCGCCATTGCTGCCCTCAAGGCCAAGTCCTCCTTCAACCTGGTCGAGTGGTGCCCTACCGGGTTCAAGCTCGGAATCAACTACCAGAAGCCCATGGCCGTTCCCGCCGCCGCTGGCGATGGTGGTCTCGCCTCTGTCGACCGCTCCGTCTCTATGTTGTCCAACACCACCGCCATCGCCGAGGCCTGGTCGAGACTGGACCACAAGTTCGATCTCATGTACAGCAAGCGTGCCTTCGTCCACTGGTACGTCGGTGAGGGTATGGAGGAGGGTGAGTTCAGCGAGGCCCGTGAGGATCTTGCTGCACTTGAGAAGGATTACGAGGAGGTTGCTGCCGACTCGTACGAGGGTGAGGAGGACGATGCCGAGTACTAAGCCGACATCGGAGACCGTCCCGTTTTTTTGTTTCGCGGTATATCGGTTGCTGCAACGAACAATGACGAACCCGGCAGCCTTGGACGAAAACTGAATTGCATGAAAAAAAGTTTGTTCTTCTGGCGGCCGTCGGGATGTCGGTTCGGTAGACTTTTGTTCTCGTTCTCGTTCTCGCCGGACGGACATGGACGCACAAGGCACTGGATTAACCCATAACCCAACGAATGGATATTTCGGCGTCAAGCTCGAGTTATAATAGATGAGACCAAGTCACTTTCTTCTTTCACAAGTACATACGTGGTACCTCCTGACTTGTCTGACGAGAGCCTCTTGGGGGATTGAAACTAGTCACTTGTAAATCGACGTATTCTTCCAAATTACTTTGCATGTTGTGATTCGGTGCTGTGATTGCAGAGTGTAACGTACATATGTGCCATTGGTAGCAAAATAATACTTGATGTGGGAATCGAGGGTTGCTCTGTAAGTCACAGATGTATCAATGTGCTTTGTATAATGTTCATTATTTTGTACGCCTTTTCCCGACGCTTCCATCCGTCTACTTTTGGTATTTCATGCAACTACCTCAATACAAGTAGGTCACCCCACCCCCTCCGCAAATTGTTAGATTCATTTTTGCTTCTTCTTCCACTCCGCGGCTCTCTTGGCACCACGGCCCGTAGGCTTGCTCTTCTTGACGCCGCCCTTGTTCAGGGGCTTACTCCGCTTGTTGAACTTGAGATCCTTTGGCCTGCCGTCCTTGGCACTGGCGCGGCGGCCCTCAAAAATAAAGTCCTCGGGCTTCTTCATCTCATCCTTGGGGATGGCGCCGGAGCCGTTGCCAGGGGCGCGCGGCTTCCTATCTTCGAATTCTCGGCCTCTGCGCTGCTCGCGGCGGGCTCCTTGACGGCCCAGGAGACGGCTGGAGCGGCCGGCGAGGGACTGCTGCTCGGGGGTGATCTTGGCCTTGTACTTTGTGCTGCCGGGGGCTCCGCGTGAAGCGTCTGCTTGGGCGGCTCTGGCCTTGTTGGTGCGCTCCATGGCGAGGGCGGTCTTGTGGGGGGCCTTTGCGCGGGTTACGCGCATGATGCGGGGGAGCATCGGGGGGTACTTCTTGCCGTCTAGGAGGAGGGCTGATTCTACGTGGTTACCGTCCTGTGGGTATTTGGTTAGCAATGTTTCTCCCACTACGTCGCAGTATGTGAAGGCAACTTACGTAGAACTGGACGTAGGCGAAACCCTTGCCCACTCTCGTCTTGGGATCGCGAACGACGCGCACATTCTCGACCTTGCCGGCGTGCTTGCCAAACGTCCTCCAGAGACCCTCCTCAATGTCGGCCGGCACTTTGGTGCGCTTCTTCTGCACCGTCTCGCCCTCCTCGTTGGTGGCGAGGATGGTCTCGTCGTCGATGAAGCCGAGGTTGCCGACGAAGACGCAGCGGCGGTGGTCCGTCGGAGCGGGGTGAGCGACGCTGTCGACGCGCAGGTGGCGGTCGAGGACGATGGTGCCGTTGAGCTCGGCGCAGACCTTGCGCGCGGCGGCGGGCGTGGAGAAGACGACGTAGGCGTTTGCGGACTTGGTCGTCTCGTTCATGAGGGACTTTGTGATGTAGGCCGCGCGCTTGGGGAGGCCGCCGCCGGAGAAGGCGATGGAGCGGAAGCGGATGGACTCGATCTTTTGCGGGGGCTTGGCGTCCTTGTCGAGGACGCTGGTGAGGTGGGCTTCGAGGGCGCGCTTGGCCGTCTTGTTGTCGATGGCTTCGGAGGCGACGTTGGAGAGGAAGACTGTGCGGCTTGCCTTTTCGAGCTCCGTGTCCTTTGTCTTGGCCTTGCTCTCGGCTGCGACGGATTCGTGGACGGGGACGGCGTCATCGTCAGACTCCTCCTGCTCTTCTTCTTCCTCTTCCTCCTCCTCATCCTCCTCGCCTTCACCCGCACTCTCGCCCTCGGAAGATGTTTCTGAGGCAGCGTCTTCGTCCTCTTCCGTATCCTTGGACTCCTTCTTGCTGCGCTTCTCGGCATGGATCTCCTTCTCCTCTGCCTCGGCGAGCTTGCTCAGGTATTTGCCCTCGATGTCGTCCTCTACTCTCTTGCGCTTGCGCTCCTTCTTGGGCTTTGCAGCTGGCTCTGACACTTCCTCCTCCTCTGAATCGGCGACATGCTCGAGGTCAACCTCTTCATCGCTACCAAGCTCAGACAGCTCCTCGTCGTCGGCATCAGGTAGTTCCTCATCGTCGTCGGAAGCCTCTGGAGCGGCCTTTGCCTTCGGTGGAGGCGCTTCGGAGTACCTTGACTTTTCCGGGGCCTTCACAGGTCCTGCCTGAATTTTGTTAGAATTTTCTTGGCTGCATTGGTCGACTTTTGCAGAAAACGACTTACACTGGATGCGAAGAGGGCATCGAGAGTGGGGTCAATGGCCTTGCTTGAGGCCGTAAGTTTAGAACTATTCAGAAAGCAATTAGTCTTAAAAATGTGCCATGACATTGGGAGTGAACTCACCTTTTCCCCATTGTTGCGACAGATATATGACTTGTTTTGCTGAGTATCTATGTTCTGCAACGGGTCTGCTGTAGATGCACCGATCCGCCCCAGGTCGCTGCCGCGACAAGAAAAAAAATCAAGCTCTCTGTACCACTTGGCCTGCGCTCCAAAGCGATAAGAGATTTCGGAGGTGGAGTGCGCCGATAAGAAACGGAACAACCGTGGATTGGTGCAAAACGTCAGAAGACCGCTATTTGCCGAGGACAAGTGCCCCGTGCCCGCTGTTGTGCCAGCTCTCACCGCTTTCGCTCGCTGCTAAGACTTGGTTCTGCCGACCGATGCTGGTTCCGCTGGGGGGGGGGGGCGGGCAGAAAAAAAAGAAAGAGCTCGGGGAGGTAGCAAAAAGACGCCGCCCGGCCGCGCGGCGGGGGGGGGCGCCCCCGGCCGCCGTTGCGGTCCCCCCCCCCTCTCCGCTCGGGCGCGTGGGTGGGGGGGGGGCGGGCGGGGGGGGGGGGGGGGGGGGGGGGGGGGGGGGGGGGGCCGGAGAAAGGCACAGAGCACAGAGAGAGAGGGAGCAGGTGAGCGCATCTCTCATGGAGCGGCAGGTCACTAACGCTTCTCTCTCATCCCCAAAAACCCACCACAACACCACCACTTTGCGCTCGCCCACCTCTGCATTCGAGACCAGACAGTCACACGCGTTGATGCTTCTCTTCAACTCCTTTCTTTCGAACCTTGATTTTAGCACGCACTCGCTTCCCTCCTCACGACAGCGACCCGCCCGCTCCTCCAACCCACCGCTGTCGCTGCCGCTGGTGCTTGTCCCTCCGCGCCCCGTCTTCGTTCCCACGAAAACTCGTCTACCCGAATTGCACTGCTCCACGACGCAACCAATCTCCAAAACACCCGATTTGATATCCCAAACCGCGGTATCAACTCAATTTTTCAATGGCAGCTACGGCGTCCGCGCCGCCTGCCCTCTCTCCAGGGCAGGCGACGCTCGATCATGACGATAGCAACATATCCAGCCCGCTGAGCGACGTCGAGGACAAGGACGGCGGTGAATCTCTTGATGGGATGCAGCTCGACCACACTCGGCCAGACCATGACGAGGCGCTTGACTCTGACAGCAATCTATCAGAGGCAAATGATACCGAAGCGGAGACGGAGCGTCTCTACGACACCCCGCAGGCACAGCGCCACAAGGACGTCGTTGTCAATCAGTTCAACGACGGCCAGGTCTACGAACGGACTCCTAGCAAGCTTCAAAAGACGTTTTCTGTCGACGGCCACGACGATGGCGACGACGACAGTCTTTCCGACCGCGACGACGTGTCAATGACCTCTAGTCACGGTGACTTGGGCTCGCCCACCAAGCCCAAGAAGTCGACCGAGCTCCCAACCACCGAAGACGACCCTGAGAATACCGATAGCAAGAAAAGGAAGCGGTCGCCGGTCGCGGAATCTTCCGAACCAGGCCAGCCCGCCAGGAAGCGCACCGGTTCCGTCGTGCCCCAGGAGCAGGATCAGCACAAGACTGACGTGGAAATGCATGACGACGAGGCCCCGTCCACAAACTCACATACTGGTGATCACTCAGCGACCGAGGAAAGTGTTTTGGAACTTCCCCACAGCAAGCGTGGCCCTTCGCGCGATGGTCACAGCCCGATCAAGGATTCACAAATCACAAAAAAGGTTACCCGCAATGGGAGCAGAAGGAAAGGTCACGCTGTCGAGGCTCACGAGAACGAAGGGCACGAGGGCGACGCCCGAGACGATAGTCGTGGTGACGACGACTCGGGGCCTCACGGCGACGACCAGGCTGACCACGAAGGTGACGACGAGGCAGAGGCGACCAGGAATGACGAAGAATGTAGGTGGCTTGCGACCCATCCATATTTCGAAGCCTTGCTGACAAAATGCAACAGTTGAAAGAAAACGTGCTGCGGTTGAGGAATGGACCGATCTCGAAGAGAAATTTGTCGTCTTCCGCGAGCGGTGAGTCTTTCCGAGAAGAAGCATTAGCTTTCTCAGCGACTAACGCAGTTTTCACAGTTTATACAAGGATCGCCTCGAGCGCCTCGAGCATGAAGAACATTCACTGCAAGCCGAGCCGCCGACACATCCCGAATACTTAAATATGAAGCAATGTCTGGACGAAAGGCTCGAAAAGAGGCTTCGAAATATTGAAAAAGAATACGAGCTCTCGGTTGAGGCCCTTGAGAGATTGGCAGTGGCGCGCCGTGCCCAGATTTGGAATCAATTCTACCAAGGCTCTCGGGAAAAGCGCTCAAAGATGCTCGAAGATCTCAACAAGGAGTGGTACGAGACCCAGAATGCTAGGCGAAGCGCACACAGCATTCCGGACTACGGCCTCCTCTTCCCTACGAACCCTGCACAGCGCACAAGGAATGCCGTGGCATACAATTCGGAGGTCTCGTTTTTGGCCGGTCTCGCTAAGCATGAGGGCTTCCCCGCGGTGCCGGCCATGAGGGGCGCGAGTGGCTCAGAGATCGAGGACGACCTGGAGCAAATGAAGGTTAGTGAATCGCAGGATTCTTTGGGTGGAAAACACATTACTGACTCCTACCAGCGCAACACGAAACCTCGTCAGCGTTCAATAATGCAGCCCATTGACGATTATCAAGCAGTCGCTTTCGGATCTAACCTCGGCCCCGCCGGAGAGCAATTTATCAAAGATACTCCATGGGCCAACCCGAACCACATTGCGCACAAGATCAACACAGGACCTGCAGCGGCCGGTGCTCGATTGAGCAGTCCAATGCAGGGAGGTAAAGCAGCAGCAGGCCCGTCCAACCAACAACCGATACCAGCCGTGACGAACGGCCATGTCGTGCCGCAGGCGTCGCCGCCAATGAACCGATTTATTTCTGCTTCTCCCGAGATGGTCAGAACAGCCAATGTTTTGACACAGAGCGCCCAGATGAAGCGCGCAGGCAGCCGCACATCAAAAGCTGCGAAAAACACAGCTCCCAAACAAGAGCCAGTGTCGGCGATGGCTAGTTAGGACGGCATCAATGGACGGCCAACGGCGTTTTCGAGGCTTACTGCTCTGTTATGATACCCCACGACGGCTTGGGCAGCTCGCCCCTTTTTCTTTCCTTAAACTAGTTGTGCTTGCACTGGCGCGTTGTTTCAACGGGCATGTTCATTCTGCCCCCCCCCCCCCCCCTGTATAGAGGGTGTCAAAACTTATGGGTGTCTACAAGATGGGAGGAACGGACAGGTTTTACGGAGCTGCATTTGCATTGAATGGACGGGTCTGATCCTGTAATGAGAGATGCACAGAGTTATTAATTGGGGATTTGTTTTTATTTTCTTTGATATTGATGCCACAGGCGAAAAGAGCGAGATGAGTGAGACTCGCAGATATATACTATACAATGCATATGCTCCCACGCATACTGATATACTCCCCGTATTTTTTATTCCTAGGGATTATGGATCCCATCCTGCGCTTAAACTCGTACATCACATGTCTCCTTCTACCGTCGCACTCGTCTCTCTAACGGCCCTAGTTGGACTTTGCTGGCTGCCTCGGGGCGTCAGGAACCTTGACATCTTCAAACTCGTCTTGACCGACCGCCTTGATCGTGTACCAATCTGTTTGTCTCCCAAAAAACTGTGTCAGCTATCTTGCTTGGTGATTCCGCAACGGTGCCTGTCTACGCGAAAGGGGGGGGGGGGGGGGGGGGTGTTTCCCCACACACAACCTGGCCCGCCAAAACCCCCCCCCCGGGCCCCGGCGGCGGGGTCCTTTGGAGGGGGGGGGGGGCCCCCCTGCGCCAGGGTGGGGGTGTGGGGGGGGTCGTGGGTGGGTGGGGGGGGGGGGGGGGGGGGGGGGGTTGTTTCGCCACATACACACTGCGCCGACGAAGCACCACAGTCCGGCACCGACGGCGAGGTTCTTTGCGAGGTAGGGCTTGCGCGCTCTGATCAGGGCGGGTCCTTGTCGGAGGTTGCGATCGTAGTAGGAGGACTTTTGGGGGCTGTCGTTTCCTGCTTGTCAGACCACTTGCTCACTCTGGCGGCGGCGGCGGTGGAGGGGACGGGCGACGGATGGGGGAGTTGACGCACATCGCCATTGTGACCAAATTCTGAGGTTCTATCTTTCGTTGGATTCGGTAATCGAGGGTTCGTGAGGTTGGTTCAGACCCTTGGGGAAGGGGGGAGGGGTGGTCGATCGTGGGTTTGCGCCGTGGATTCGGGAAATTCAATGGTCGGTTCGGGGCCCTTGTCGCAAACGCCGTGGTTCGAACTTCTGGAAATTCCAATAGGCGCGTCCCGGCCCGGCATTGATTGCCTCGACGCTGATTGGTATCGATAAGGCGGAGAAAGTGCGGCAGAACTGATAGTGACGTGGAGACTTGCGCGACAAGCTTGGGTGGGCAGGGGATCTCTGGGAGCAGCTTTCCAGGTTGTTTTGGGGGGGGGGGGGGGG